GCCAAAAAGAGAAAGTTGAAAATAGCCAACAAGCATACAAAATGTCCAATAAGCAAGAAAAATTGTGGATTATGTTTTCCCAAAAGAAATGCAAATAAATTACAATAATGAGGTGTTTTAAACATCATAAAGATATTCTGGTTAAATTATTAAGAAGAATGACAGCACTTGTAGGCATGCAGAGCATGAGCACTTTCATATACTACTAAGTCAGAGTGTTCATTTGTACATACTTTCTGAAGATAGATTTGCAATATATAACAAAATTTTAAAAATAGTGTTTGACCTAATTTCTAGTAGTGTATTATCAAAATATGCTCATGCAACTAGAAAAAAATGTATCTGCTTGGATATTCCTCTCAGCCAAAACAAATGGAAACAACATAAAATTCTTCAATATATGGCTATTTTGGCAGAACATTGTACAACTAAAAGAAATTATTCTTCTGTCATTTACATGGAAATATCTCCATGATATGATGAAGTAACTAAAATAGAAGACAAAAAAGCTTGTATGCCATGATTACATTTGTATATGTCTGTGTGTTCTAGCATAGACAAGTGGAGCAATCTTCGACAGAATATTAACAATAATTAATGATAACAATAGTTAATATTTAAGATGATTTATATTTCCTTTTGAGCATATTATTGTATTGCTCAAATTTAATTTTTCTACCCTTACAATTTGAAATATTGTTGTGGAGGAAAAAAAAATAAGGTTCACAAACTTAGTAAAGGAGAAGAAACATCACGGTGGTAATTCTAACCATTTTCCTGTGGGATTGTTCAATCCATTGATTGTTATGAAATTGCTTTCAGTATAAAATGACAGTTCTTGAAAGCATAAGAGATAAGATAGCAGATAAAACTCTTTAAAAGAGTCATGATTGTCTGTAGCATAGATATTTAAATATTTTCTTTTTACTCCTTCCCTCTGCACCAGGTATGTTTCTAGCTGATTTGATAGAAAAATATTTTGTGTCCCCTACCCTGTTCCGAGTGATCCGTCTCGCCAGGATTGGCCGAATCCTGCGTCTGATCAAAGGGGCGAAGGGAATCCGCACGCTGCTCTTTGCTTTGATGATGTCCCTTCCTGCACTGTTTAACATCGGCCTCTTGCTCTTCCTGGTCATGTTCATCTACGCCATCTTTGGCATGTCCAACTTCGCCTATGTTAAAAAGGAAGCTGGAATCAACGACATGTTTAACTTTGAGACCTTCGGCAACAGCATGATCTGCCTGTTCCAGATCACCACCTCTGCTGGCTGGGATGGGTTGCTAGCACCTATTCTCAACAGTGGTCCTCCAGATTGTGACCCCAAAAAAGTTCATCCTGGAAGTTCAGTGGAAGGAGACTGTGGGAACCCCTCTGTTGGGATATTCTACTTTGTCAGTTACATCATCATATCATTTCTGGTTGTGGTGAACATGTACATCGCTGTCATCCTGGAGAACTTCAGTGTTGCTACTGAAGAAAGTACTGAGCCCCTGAGTGAGGATGACTTTGAGATGTTCTACGAGGTTTGGGAAAAGTTTGATCCAGATGCCACCCAATTTATAGAATATAGCAAACTCTCTGATTTTGCAGCTGCCCTGGATCCTCCACTCCTCATAGCAAAACCAAACAAAGTCCAGCTCATTGCCATGGATCTGCCCATGGTCAGTGGGGACAGGATCCACTGCCTTGACATCTTATTTGCTTTTACAAAGCGTGTTTTGGGTGAAAGTGGAGAGATGGACTCTCTCCGTTTACAGATGGAAGAAAGATTCATGTCTGCAAATCCTTCTAAAGTGTCCTATGAACCCATCACAACTACACTAAAACGAAAACAAGAGGATGTGTCTGCTACTGTCATTCAGCGTGCTTACAGACGTTACCGTTTACGGCAAAATGTCAAAAATATATCAAGTATATACATAAAAGATGGAGGCAAAGATGATGATTTGCCCAAAAAGGAAGATACGGTCTTTGATAATGTTAATGGGAACTCGAGTCCAGAAAAAACAGATGCAACTTCATCCACCACGTCTCCACCTTCATATGATAGTGTAACAAAACCAGACAAAGAGAAATATGAAAAAGACAAAACAGAAAAGGAAGACAAAGGGAAAGATGGCAAGGAAAGCAAAAAATAGAGCTTCATTTTTGATACATTGTTTACAGCCTGTGGAGGTGATGTATTTGTGTTAATAAGACTCTTTTAAGGAGGTCTATGCCAAAACTCTTTTTATCCACATATTCTCAAAGTCAGTACAGCCCCTAGCTCTGATTCTCTGACATAGGTGGGCAGCATTAGCAGATGACTTATTTTTGCATCAGGAAATGATTCTATAAGAATTGTTAAGAGTAACTCTACAGGGATAATTGGTTACAGCCAACAAAGGTGATTTAACTTAATTTCTTTTAATCAATCAGAGGACCGTA